GGGCCTAATCCGTCCCGGTTTCCCTGGCGCACCACAACCGGCACAACCACGATTCGTTTTCCAACGCCGTGAGTTTATTGAACCTTGTTTTATCCGTGTATAATACGTTGGTAATGCTTATGCTTGCTCCCTTCAATGTTTTATATATATGAGAACACAAATTGGTTAACAAGCTCGTTTTCAGTGTGTCTTAATCATGCCATTACAACACAATAAATATGACTAGTATCAAATAAGGATTTACAAGAAAAAAGAGAGGGAAAGTAATTAAAATATTCAAGAGTTTGTTTCATAATTGGTCCCCAATTATCACTTACTCCGATGTTGCATGACAAGTCACTTGTCGGTGATCCGGCCATGGAAGCTTGAGTGCTTGCACAAATTGTTTCTGAGCGCACAGAGGGGGATTGTGAAGACGAATGGAAACTGCCTCCGCTGCGAAACTGTACGTATCTAGACCATCCTGCCTCAACTCTATACAGGGGTCGGAACGCTTCGGTCACGTTTACAATGTGATTAGTGTCGACAAGGTGCGACACGACGGCACTTGTGATTGACTTGATTGATTGCTCCACTTCGCAACCACGCAGGGTGATGCTCACGGACGCGCTCGGACAGACGCCTGGTTGTGCGGCCAACATACTTTGCGCCACAGCAACAAGTGAAAGAGTAAATACAGAAAGAGGCGGCAGAATCGGGCACTCTATCCTTCAACCGTAAATACACCAGCGGGCTAGATGCGAATCGAGTTTGAAGCTTAACCGCGTNCTATGCACAATCTCTACCAAGGTGTCACCTTTAAACGGTAAAGAAATGTATACAGACTTCTAAGCAATTACTCTCTTGGGAAATGCCTCTTGCCGTTGCATCATAGATTCCACCAAACGCTCCGGATATCCATCCCGGTTGAAGATATTCCGCACATTTTGGAGTTCTTCAACCAGCATGTCCTTCGTGCAAATTTTTCTAGCTCTATTGACCAAACAAGGTATGAGATTTTTCTTCATATTGAGTGGTACAAAGCTACGGAAATGAATGTACTGCCCATTCCAAGTCGCCTTCCTGTATACTGACCGCCTGATGAATCCGTCATCACAGTTAGGCAGACATCTAAATATTCTAGTTGATTGTTTGCTTTATTTTCAATCGTGAATTTCAAATTTCGATGCGCAGCATTGAAATGATCTAGTAGATTTTGGCACTCCGTTGTAGAATCGACTAGTCATATTTATTGTGTTGTAATGGCAAGATTAAGACACACTGAAAACGATCTTTTTTGCCAATTTGTGTTCTCATTATGAACTCCGTGGGACCTTTTAAACATTTTATATATATATATATATATATATATATATATCAAAATTGACGACCCAAAGCTCTTTCGATCATTCAAACTTGTTACTTTCAAATGGTCTGTGTTGAGGAAGCACTACTCATTTGTCCGTTGCAGTGTTTTTGTTTTGATTGTGTATGTGCGATGTTGTTGTTTATTTTATTGAACACGAAGTCCTTGTACATGCTAGTTTGCCGCAGATTACAAAAAGTTTTCGTTGTTAACTGTTGTATTGTGCTTTTTCATCCTGAGTTCTAGTGTTGGGCTGGATTATTACTGCGCAGAGTTCGATTCGTTTATGCGTTATTCGCCCCAGTACTAACCACAACAACTGGCTGTGTATTTGGTGTTAAGGTTTCGATGGAGAACGAAAAACGGCGAGTTTCTTAATTACCATCGGAAAGGACGCATACTTTTTATTGAGGAGTTTGACTTTTTCGGCCACTCATTGCCCAAGGAATCCTTGGAAAGCTTTGTGTTGAAGCATTTACAACCAGCCTATTTCGAAGCCACTGAACGAGCCATGTTTCATTCGCTCGCACGCGATGCAAGCCAACCCAAACTTGACTTCTTTCTTTCGCTTTAAATTAAAGCATCGCGATATTATTTCGGAGATCAACTATAAATCCAGCTACGCGATCCGTTGATTGCTGGTATCAATTGTTCTGAACTCCAGCAAAGGCTCTTACTCGTGCGTGATTGCTCATTTCAGTTGGCGAAGGCCGTTTGTAAATAGTGTCAAGACGTCCGTGCTACACTGATCTAATAGTGGGAATGTTTATAGCTTTTGTCCGAATATACCATCCTTACACATTGTAAGAAAACACAGAGTAGCGAATAAGCTCGTTTGCGGTGATTCTTCTACAGGTTAATAGATCACAATTTCTATCAAACTGTTTAGAAGGGAGGGGGGGGAGGAGAAATCATGACAAGGATAAACCTCAATTCTGTATCAATGGTATCGTCTGTGCATATTCTCCGCGCTCTAGTAGCTAAGCACTGAATCAAGTTTCTTTTCCATTCCAAAGGCACATAGCTTTTTAAATGGATATACTGATTGTTTCACAATGACTTCCTGTGGATGGTGCGTTGGATTGTTCCGTCTGGTCGGCGGCTTAGTAGAACGGTGATCCGTTCATTCTTTTCGTTCTCTAAAGTGAACTTTATGTTCGAATGTGCTGAATTAAATACTTTTAGGAGTATTGACAGGTTCACACTGTCATCAACAAAGCACAAAATGTCATCCACATAGTGCTTGTGAAATAAACAACGATCGATTGTTTGTTTTAGGATGTTATTCTCCAGCTTCGCCATGAAAATATCTGCGAACAGTGGACCCAGAGGAGATCCCATTACCACCCCATCTATTTGTCGATAAATTTCGTCGTTGAATTTGAGCTGTATGTTGTGGATGCAAAAGTACGGTAGTTGTTTAAGATCAACTGGTATTCCAATTTCACAGTTGTTTCTTTGTATGTGGTCACATATGTATTCAATAGTTTCAGTAATGAGACTGTTAGTGAAGAAGGAACTGACGTCGAGTGATATCATGCGTAATCCGTTTATGTTTATCTTTAATCCTAACCACCAAGTCATAGGAATCCTTTAAAGTGTGCTTGGTGAGTTGTGCTCTCAAAGGTTCAAGGATTGCTACCAGCCACT